CAGAGCTGAGCTGATCTGAAGCCAGGAGTTTCTTCCTGGTCTCCCACATGAGTTCAGGTTCCCAAGGCTTTGGGCCATCCTATATTGCTTTCCCAGGTCACAAGCAGGGAGCTAGATGGGAAGTGGAGCAGCTGGGACATGTGCCAGTGCCCACATGAAATGCTGGCACTTGAAAGTGGAGGATTAGCCAATTGAATTGTCATGCCAGTCCCCACCACTGAAGTCCTGATGGGAGAAATCCCACAGCCCAGCTCCCAGCACCTGGCATATAGACCCTAGTCAGACAAAAGCTATTGATTACCTGGGCAGCAGAAGAGGAGGAGGAGGATGGCCTAGACGGGCTGCACTTAGATCATATTCAACATTTGGAGCAGGCGTTGAAATACAAGGCTCCTCCAGGCAAGAAGTCATTCCAGGGAAAGAGGATACTCCAAATGCAGACATGATAGAACTAAAGAGATGCCATGCCGCTCGGGAGATGGCAGGAATGCCACAGATGCAAAAGGGATGGGAGCCAATGGGCTTGCAGCTCTGCCCCAGCTCTTTGCTGGCTTCACCTCAGCAGGTTAAGTTTGTCAAGGGAGGAAGCAGGATGTGGGAGAGACGTATGTACGTGTGTGTGTGTGTGTGTGTGTGTGTGTGTGTGTGTGTGTGTGTGTGTGTGTATGCATGCACCTATTTATACAGAAAGTACCCAGGTAGGAGGCTCTTGGGGGAGACCCAGATTTAGGCAGGGGCCCCGGACACAAAGTCTCCATAGCGACAGGCTTGTGGCTTCCAAGGAGGGGGTGATAGCAGGGCCGGTGGTACCCCATGCTGCCCCAGTCGGTGTGTCTGGCAACCGGCAGAGTGTGCAGAGAGTGGGGAGGGGGGAGACGGGGGGAGGGTCAGCCTGTGGTGCTGGGTATGCAGGGGCCCTTGCACAGGGTGGCTGAAGAGGAGATGGCTGAATCCCTGTTTCTCAGGAGCAGCATGGGCAGGGAGCAGGGGCACCCAGAGCAGGGCAGGCGTCCAGGCATCAGGCCCTCTGCTCCAGGCAGGAAGGAGCTGCTGATGGAAAACAGGGCAGGTGGACAAGGAGAGAGGGGCAAGGGTGGACAAGGGCAGGAAGGACTCCAATGGAAGGATATCACGACTGGCTTCCTTTCTTCCGAAAAGGTTTTCAGCTTTAATTGTCTCATGATCACACAGGCACAGAGTTTGAAACCAGAATAAATCTGAATAACAGGTTTGTACTGTGGCTCGGTGGGCTTTTTTCAGTTTGTGTACACTCTCAAGTGCTGTTCTACTATGAAAGATTACAATCTAGCGGCTTGTTTTTTCTCTGCAAGGTCCACTCCTCCCCCTCATCCTTTCACTACATCCCTAGTGTGAGTCAGATGGTATCTATCCAGTGTTGACATCCCAGTGACTAGAGCTGAATCCATACGATGCTTATCAACTTGGCTGTCATTCATGCAGAGCTTTGGATCTCACCTTTCTTTAGCTTGAATGATTGTTGCTAATCAATCCTTTTTTTAAAATAAGATTTATCTGGGAGTGCCTGGCATGATGATTGGCTAATCCCCTGCTGTGCAAGCACTGGGATCCCATATGGGCTACAGTTCCTGTCCCAGCTGCTCCGCTTCCCATCCAGCTCCCTGCTTGTAGCCTGGGAAAGCAGCAGTCCAATGGACTTTGGAAGGATTTCCTCAACCTTGGAGCAACAAAATCAACAGTATCTCCGAACTGTCGAAGTCACTGAAGCAGTACTCCTGGAACATGCTCTACATCGGGGATCTGGGGATGGCCATACCCTACCCGCAAGTACTGATGCGGTTGGGGTGCTGGGAGCAGTCCTCTTCCCTTCTCTCCCCATTTTCCCCAGATACAGAATAAAACAGGAGATTGGAAAAAGTTGTCTCATCAACTTTCCCCCATTCCTTGATCCTTCCCATCTAAACCAGTGATCCACATGGGTATGCATGCTTCTTAATTATGTCCTCATACAAAATAAAATAAATAAAAAATAAATAAAAATGAGGGAGAGAGTGGGAGGAGACCGTGTGTTTTAAGATCATTTAATTGTATTTTTTCTTTTCTTTGTTCCCCCTAGGGGAAAAAAATCTTTAAAGAATAAAGACGGGCCCAGTGCAGTGGTCTAGTGGCTGAAGTCCTTGCCTTGCATGCGTAGGGATCCATGTGGGCTACAGTTCATGTCCCAGCTGCTCCACCTCCTTTCCAGCTCCCTGCTTGTGGCCTGGGAAAGCAGTTGAGGACAGCCGAAAGCACTGGGACTCTGCATCTGCATGGGAGACCTGAAGAAGCTCCTGACTCCTGGTTTTGGAATGGCTTAGGTCCAGCTGTTGCAACCACTTCAGACGTGAACCAGCAGACGGAAGATCTTTCTGTCTGCTAGTTCACTTCCCCAATAGCCATAATGGCCAGAGCTGATCTGATCCAAAGCTAGAAGACAGGAGCTCCCTCTAGATTTCCCACGTTGACTCAGAGTCACAAAGACCTGGGACTCCACTGCTTTCCCAGGTCACAGAGAGCTGGATCAGAATTGGAGCAGCCAGGACTAAAATTGGCACCCATGTGGCATGCTAACACCATAGGACAAATGATTATCCCTCTGTGCCATTGCACTGGCCCCAAATGTCAGATTTACAGAGAGAGAGAAGGAGACACATAGAAAGATCTTCTATCTGCTGGTTCACTTCCCAAAAGATCCCAACAGCTGGCACTGGACAAGTCTGTAGCCAGGAGCCAGGTGCTTCTTCCAGGTCTCCCACATAGATACTTTTGGATCATCTTCTGCTGCTTTTTCCCAGGCAGGGAGCTATAACAGAAGCAGAGCATCTGGGACCCAAGTTGGTGTCCATAAAGGGTGCCAACACAGCAGATGGCAGTTTTAAATGCTATGCCACAATGCCAGCCCTTGCAATATATTTTCATTGCCAATGTATATACCTTTGCAGAAGGTGTTTTTCCCACTCCCCCCATGTCAGTTTCAACAGGGAGGCCACTGAAGTTGGAGGTAGGGTGTGGTGGTGGTAAATAAAGGGGATGAATGGCACAGGAGAAGTCAGCAGGTTCCAAAAAGGTTCCAGATCCAGTGGGTCCTAACACAGGCTTTGGCTTCTACAGACAAGCGCTTATTGGCAGGATTTGACCAACAGTTTCATTTATATAAAAAGCAAAGTGAAAGAAGGGGGAGAGACAACACAGTTTATCTTCTGTTTGCTGATGCCAATGACTGCAGTGACCAAGGCTAGATCAGACTGAAGCCAGGAACCTGGAACCCCATCGGAATCTCCCAATCCTTGGGCCATCATCTGCTGCCTCCTGGGCATGTTAGCAGTGAATTGGATCAGAGTGGAGCAGCCAGAACTCTAAATGATGCTCCAGTACAGAATGTCCGCAGTTTGACCTTCTGGGCCCCCATACTGGCTCCCATGATTGCTTTCCAAACAAGGATGACTCTGGCTGCTGAGCTGATAAAAAGCAAAACAGGGACAAGACCAGAACAGAGACTGGGAAGAAAGCTGTTGCAACAGTGCAGAGGTCAGAATGGGAAAGTGGACAGACAGTGAACAATCCACAGGTAGAGGTGGGCGTTGTGTTTGGAGCAGGTTAAGCTGCTGCTGCTTCTCATCCAACTTCCTGCCGAGGGGCTTTGGAGGCAGCGATAGTGGCTCCAGCACTTGGGTCCCTGTCACCCATGTGGGAGAAGCAGGAGCAAATGGCCCTAAGTCATGGGAACACCAATAACTGTGTCACCTTGCTGTTGGGAGGGGACTTAGATGGGTCTTTTAATCTGTGCTCCTCATATCCTGGGCGTGACAGCTGGCTCCTTTGCTAGAACATTAACTCTTTGTATGGCCACCTAAGGCCACCAGTCTGGCCATGTGAGGGGAAGTTAGTACCACATGGTGAGGTTCCCCCCAACACACACAAGGCACCCTACTGGCTTTTATGTGTTGAGAGCCCATATGCATGCCGGTTTGTATCCTAGCTGCTTCACTTCCCTTCCAGCTCCCTGCCTGTGGCCTGGGAAAGCAGTGGAGGATAGCCCGGAGGCTTGGGACCCTGCACTCACATGGGGGACCTGGAAAAGGCTCCTGGCTCCTGGCTTCAGATCAGCTTTACTTCAGCTGTTGTGGCCACTTGGGGAGTGAACCAGTGGATGGAAGATCTTTCTATCTTTCCTTCTCTCACTAAGTCTACCTTTCCAATAAAAGTAAATAAATCTTAAAAAAAACAAAACAAAACAAAAACTGCATGGTGAGGAGCTTCAAGAGTCAGCTGCTGTGTCCTGGACCCCACCTAAAGAGGAGACACTTCACCATCCCAAGCCTCTGTTTTCCCTTCGGTAAAATGGGACCAATCTTGTCTTTCCTTCTCAAGGCTTGCTGATAAGATGGCATTGACCAGGGCAGGGCAGGTGTCCTGCAGCCTTGGTTACTGGCAAGAACCAGGGAAGGAGACCCGAAAGCAGAAGAGGAAGGGACGAGGATACGGTGAGCCGGTCCTCGGTGGGTGCCTTGCAGTGGGGGGCTCGGACCATGACCTGTACCAGAATGGACAAGGCTCTAGACCAGTCTTTGGGTTTGACCTCCAACACGGGACAGGGACGGAACAGATTCCCGAGGCCGAGGCAGGACAAAGTAGTGAAGACAGCTAGAGAGACCCGGAGACCGAGGAGCCGACCCCGGGAAGGGACTGGGCAAGGCACTGCGGCGCGGGGTGCCTAGCGTCCCCCTCCCCTTACCCCCGCACTCCTCCCGCTCGGGCCGCTCGCCCAAGATGGCGATGGAGGGGCGGGCGAGCCGGCCGCGGCCCCGGCCCCCGCGCCGGCCCCCGCTCGGGCCCGGGCCCCCGAGGCCGCGCCCCCGCCCGCGGCGCCGCGCCTCCCCGGGCCACTGACGCCCGGCGCGCCCTCCCCCCGCGGTGGTGGCGGCGGCGGCCGAGGCGCCGGGAGAAGGCGGCAGCGGCGGCTGCGGCCCGAGGCGGGCCCCATGGCGCGGGGGGACGCGGGCGGCGGGCGCGGGCTGCTGGTGCTGACCTTCTGCCTGCTGGCGGCGCGCGGTAAGGGCGGGCGCCGCGGCGGTGGCGGGAGTAGCCCCGCGCCGCGCTGGGCTGCGGGGCTGGCGTGCGTCCCGGTCCGTAATGCACGCGTGCGGGGAGATGGGGGCGGGGATCCTGTTGGGGTGAGGGTCCGCGGGCGGGGGCGCGCACTTGTCCGCAGCGGGTGTGCGTCCTGGGCTGGCAAAGTGTGGCGCGCGCGCGCGCGTGTGTGTATGTGTGTGCGCCGTGTGTCCGGCGGGGTGGCAGATCCCGCGGGCGCGCGGCTCCGCAGTGCGTGTGGCGACCGCGGCGTGGCCTCGGCGGGGCCGGAGCTGTCCCTACCCGCGCCGCGGAGAGCGTGCAAGAGCAGGGGACAGGGCTTGCGACTGTATCTCCGCTTGTTCCGGGTGTCTGTGTGTGTGTGCGATGGTGTTTCTGGGGCTCAGCTGCTATTTGGCCTTGGATTGTGGGGTGTGTCCTTGCCCCTGGGGAGGATTGTGCACATTGACTGGGTGGTGATAAAGCCACGCGCAACTTTGCTCGGTGGGTGTGGTGCCTGGCACGGCTTGGGGGTTCGGTGTAGCTCCCCCAAGCCCTCGGCCCAGAGTGGGCTGGGCTTGGAGGGGAGGTGGTCAGAAAGCCAGAAATCTGTTGCTTTCGTGTCCAACGCCGGCTCTCAGAGTGGGATTGGGACGCGTGTCACTCCAGCCCCACTCCCGCCAGCGGCCCACGGAGATCGGCGCGGGCTCCTTCCAGCCCCGCACCGTGGGGTCGAGTAGGGATAGGGGTAACCACAGTTGTCCACACAACTAGGAGTCGGAGCTGGACGCGCGAGTGTGACGCGCGGGGGCGGAAGGGGGTGTCCTTCCCTGCGCCCCCCGCTCCTCTGGCTTTGGATCGGGTGTGCGTCTTGGGGACGGCCCGTGGAGCGTGGGTCGGTGGCCGGGCCGGGAGGGGGCTGGGCTGCCCGCTTTGTTCGCCTGGTCCTGCCTTCCCCGCCGAGCGGGGAGCGGAGGCTGTGTCCGGGGCGAATCGGGGAGGGAGCAGGCAGTGGGGGTGGGGAGGGGGATTGCTCTCCAGCTGCTGCGGCTTTCTGGATCGACTCCGCCAGGCCACGTGGGAGGGAGGCGGGAGGGCGGCGGGGCGGAGCGGGGTAAGAAGCAGCCTCAGCCCGGCCAGCCCCAGGCCCATCTCCAGGAAAACAGCGGGTGGGAAAGGGACGGGAACTGTGCCGACCCCTGCGTTCCCCCCACGAAGCCACGCCCCACGAAGCTAGCCCGGGCCGCTGGCCGCTGGCCCGAGGGAGGGGACCCGCAGTGGTCAGGTGAAAGGGGCGGGGAAGTGACCAAGGGGCGTTTGCCCTCCGGGGCGCGCGGGGGGATTAAGGAACAGTCGCGCCTTCCACCCGCTTTCTATTCTTGCCAGAGCTGCGGAAGCTGGCTCAGGATCACCCAGCAAACCAAGATCCGGACTGGGCACCGCGGAGGTGCCTTGTCCAATACTGTCTGCCCGGCAAGGGTTTCAACTGGCCGCTCCCTGCTGGGAGAAGGCCCCAGCTCCAGCCCACTGCGGAGCGGCCCCCTGCTGGCCTTCCTCGCCCCCCTTCTTTGAGTGTACAGGGCTTAGCAGACCTGGGAACACTCCTGTGCAGCTACCCTCATCTGGGCTAAAACCATTCATTTATTCAACAGATCTTAACTGAGTGCGTTTGTAGGGCAGCCCATGGGACGAGCCCAGCCAACGGTGACCAGAGACAAACTTGATTCCCGATGCACAGCCTGCAGTGAGAGGACTGATAAATATGTTTCCTAACCTGGGGGTGTTGGATAGAATTCGGGGTTTGAAGGGCAGTTAGTCTCACACTAGGAGAGTGTGATGGGGAGAGGTGATTGGTGGAAGTGGCTGGTGAAAATCATTGCAGGAGACCAATTACTTGCAGTTGCAGAGTACCAGAAGTGAGTTGAGCAGGTGGGAGAGGGATGGTCCAAGAGTTGAGGGTTATTGCAAAAAGAGGCTGGGGGTGGGGGCAAACCCAGCTCAGGAGGGCCTTGGAATCCTTGTCCAAGAGCCACTGGTGAAGTCCTTGGCAGGTGTGAAATATGTTTTGTGGCAGCCAGCTGCAGCCTTGCTAGCAAATGGAGTTGGCAGGACTGGAGGCAGAAAGCCCGGGTCCCTTAGGAGGCTGTTGCAGAAAAAGCCGTGGTGGCCGCCGATGTGGGAGAAGCTGACTGAGATGGCTGGGGTTAGAGATGGGGAGGGAGTGAATAAAATCAGTAGAATGGGCTTGGAGGGGGTGAGAGAGAAAGAAGTCAACAGGAACACAGCCCTTGAGTCCCAAAGGCATCTCTGTCCTAAGTAAGCAACCTCACATTTAGAGCATCTTCTGATGCCAGTACCCCAAGAGGCTGAGAAGTACCTTTTAGCACAAGCCATCTTACAGATAAGAAAACCTAGTCGATTTCCAAAACTTCCTACTGGCTCTGGGGCACAGCCCTGTTCTCCCCAACACACCACAAGCTTTCAGCTCTGGCCCTGTGTTCCCCCCACCCACCCACTCATCCCCAGCCTCAGCCAGTCTGGCTAGGCTCTGGCATCCACTCTGCGTCCCCCCCTACACACACACACACACACACACACACTCCCTCCCAGTGTCTCTGAGGTGCAACAAGCAGGTTTGACACAGAACTCCAGATGCTGAACAGATGTCAGTGCCGGGTGGGCCCGGGGGCTCCCAGCTCTCTGTTGGGGTGGAGGGCAGCAGAGGAGATGTGAAAGTGGCTGGCAGAGAGGAACCCCTGCCTGGCAAGGGTCGGGTAATGGGAGCTGATGGTGGTGGGGCAGGGTGGTGGCAATGCAGGGAAGGACAACCAGAGAGAATGCTCTGGGGCTCAACCTGCAGAGAAACCAAACCTTGTGTTCTGGGCCCACTGAGCTGCAAGCCACTGTGGCTTCAACTGAGGCTTTGCCTCCAGACACTGTGGGGTCACTAGGGTCAGGTGAGGTCTCTCTCTCAGGGACCAACCTAGAACTCATGGTGATTCACTAAAGGGTTCATTACTTTTTCACCTAGTTAGGAGGTCAGAGCTCTGGCAAGTATGTGCAGGCAGATGCAGGTAGGGATGGGAAGAAAAGAGATATTAATGAATTAATTAGAGAGACACAGGGACCTGCTGTCTGCTGGTTCATACCCCAAGTACCTGCTGTGGTTGGGGCCAGAGCCAGGAGCCAGGAACTGAATCCAGGTCTCCCGTAGAATCCAACTTGGGCCCAGGATGATGGCTCAGGTGCTAAATCCTCACCTTCTCCGGCATCCTATGTGGGCGCTGGTTCATGTCCTGACTGCTCCACTTCCTACCTGACTCTCTGCTCATGGCCTAGGAAAGCAACAGAGGATGGGATCATACACCTGCATGGGAGACCTGGAAGAAGCTCCTAGCTCCTGGCTTCAGACTGGCTCAGCTCTGGCCATTGTGACTATTTGATGGAATGAAGCATGGAGTGGATGATCTTTCTCTCTGTATCTCTGTCTCTTCTTCTCTCTGGAAAATCTGCCATTCCAATGAAAATAAATACATCTTTAAAAAAAAAAAAAAAGAATCTGACAACTTGAGCCATCACCCCTGCCTGCCAGGGTCTGCATGAGCAGTAAACTGCAGTCAGGAGCCCACGCCAGGTGCTCTGATGTGGGATATAGACAGACCAGGCGCTTGCCCTGAAAAGAAGGTGTTTTTAATTGTATGATCTGTACAGAAGGAGAACAGGAAGGAGATGGGCTCCCCAGCCCCAGCCAGAGTTCCAGTCCCCCATGGGTTTGCTCTTCTGTCTCTCGGGTCCCCTAGCATAGGGCAGCTGATGCTGATGTCTCCACGGCGCTACTCTCCTCATCTCCAGCCCGGCAGACAGTCAGAGCTTCCACAGATACATACTGAGGCTTAGAGAAACAGGAGGGGCTCTGTAGCCTCAGAGCATGGCCCCCCCTCCCATGTCCTGTTCATCCAATGCAGGAATACTGATTCCTGTTTTATGCCAAGCACCATGCTAGAAACCGAGAAGCCACGAAACCGGCAGGGACGCAATCTCAGCAGAGAGCTAGATTGCTATGGTCCAGATGCCCACGGGTGCCTTAGGAGCAGAAACAGGAGAGGTGACCGAGTTAGGCAGCATGGAACAGCTGTTCCCAGGAACAGAGAGCTGTGCCAGCAACCCCGGGAACAGCAGAGCTGGCTTTCAGAGAACTAGGGGGTGGGGTGGGTGTGGCCACACAGGGAGGGCCCTCAGGGACAGGGTCAGGCCAGGAGGCAGCTCCAGCTGAGTGTGGCTCTACAGACAGCTCCCTCTGAACAGCAGATAAAGTAGAGGCTGAGGCCTGCCTGGGCCCCCAGGCCACATCTCAACACCCCTTCCAGCTGTGGGTGGGAGGGACTGGGTGAGGGGTGAGGCTAGAGCCCAGATTCTGGAAGAAGCTCATGTTTCCTAGGAGAGGAGCTGCAGGGATAGTGAGACAGAGTTGAGAGCAAGTTGCAAATCAGCCTGAAAATGGATGAGCATGCCCAGCCCAGTGCTTGATGAAGGAGACAGCCTGGCCTCCCCCACCCCACTCCCCCAACCCCCAGTCTCCCAACCTCACTCTTTTCTTGGGAGATCCCCCAAGATCCACCACCTGGGGCTCCCTGCTGCCTTCCCTGGCTGCTTTGTGCTAGCCTTGGGGCTTTGAGAATCTTTCTGCTTGAGTTCCTCTTGACCCTCTCAAACATTTTTTTTTTTAAGATTTATTTTATTGGGCCCAGCGGCATGGCCTAGCGGCTAAAGTCCTCGCCTTAAACGTGCCAGGATCCCATATGGGCGCCAGTTCTAATCCCAGCAGTTCCATCCAGCTCCCTACTTGTGGCCTGGGAAAGCAGTCGAGGATGGCCCAAAGCCTTGGGACCCTGCACCCGCATGGGAGACCCAGAAGAAGTTCCTGGCTCCTGGCTTCGGATCGGCATAGTGTCAGCCGTTGCGATCACTTGGGGAGTGAATGA